GACCACACTTCAGTGCACTGGAGAAAGAAGTTGAGTTGTCCCGCTCAGCTCTCTCCAGTTTCACATTTCCCAGTCCAGTGAAGAATTCCCACCGTTCTGGCTCTGGAAGCTTCTTAGGAAGCTTCTTCTGCATTCTACACAATGGCACCCCCACCCCACCCTGACCCTGGCCATCATAACAATGTTTTAACCCAACAACACATCCTACAAGAAGTAATATTTGACTTTCTATTTCAGGCAAAGGTATATTTATAAGCTTTTTTTTTTTTTTTTTTTTTTTTTTGGCACTCCATATTCTAGATGGAGACTGTCCTGTGGAACAAATAGGAATTGCTTGTCATGAGGGATGAGTCCAAAACATATCGCCAAGCAAGACAGACAGATACACGGACTAGTAGTGTCTTCTGAAAACTTCCATGGGTTCTGCATGTGCATTCCTTTAAAAAAAAAAAAACATGTTTTGATACACTTGTATGTTTAGTTTTATATTTGTCCCTGAAAGTACTTCCTGTGGATCATTTTATTAGTGCAAGATCACCTTAATGGCCTAAAATGTGGAAAAACACCATAAAGAAGACTGCTTCTTAGGGGCTCATTGAGCGAACGTGATTGCCAACAACCCTGATAACGTGAGTGTGGTCCCTGGAATTCTGATGGTGGAAAGAGAACCAAACCCTGCAAGGTACCGTCCTCTGACTTTCACATGGGCATCTGACCCCCACACAATAAATAGACAATGAATATTTTTTAAAGAATATTTTAAATATTAATTATTTTTTTAAACGAATAGGTCCTTCAGGTTCCTTCTTCAGACCCCACCCACACAGAGTCCTTATTTCCTTGGTAAGTAGAATAAACTTGATTACATCATCTTTTACATACAAATTTGATTGGCTTTCTCATTGTTTCTTATACAGTTGTGTTCTCTTCTTTCAGTCACCATGGTTTTCTGCTTGTATCATTGAGATATCGTGGGTCAGAATAAAACATATAACTTTTCCCATTAAAATAAATGAGTTCGGGGCTGGTGACGCAGCTCAATTGGCAGAGTGGTTGCCTAGCATGCAGAAAACCATGAGTTCAGTTCCCCAACACTGCATAATAACCAAATGTGGTGGCATGTGCATGTAGCCTCAGCGCTAGAGGCATGAAGATCAGGAGTTCAAGGCTTCAACTACGGAGCAAGCTCTCACCCGGCCTGCATATAACATACTCTGGTTATTTCCCCAATACACACCCTCCCTTAAGTTCCCCCCACCTCTGCCAGCCCCTCTCCTTCCTTACAAACCTTTTCCTCTATTTACTAGTCTGTGTCTTGTTCGGTGTCTGCAGCATTTAACAAGGACTGCCTGTCTACAGGACGCCGCGTTTGAACTAGCCATCAGAACATGGTGGGCTCACAGTGGGTTTACAGCTGGATACTGTCTTCCCCTCTGTCCCACAGAACCTGGTAGCTGCCCACAGGTCAGTGCCAAGTAGCAGAATTGGTTGAGTCCCTTCCACCTCCGTAGCTGACTGGTAGGCGGCCCTGATGTGTGTGTTCCTGGTGCCCACAGGAACAGCTGCTGTGAGTTCATGACTGCCATGGCCTGTCATACTTACACACCTCTGAGCCAGGCAAGGTGGCACACACCTGCCTCTCAGTGCTGGGGAGGCTGAGGCAGGAGTCTCTAAAGCATGAGGCTAGCCTGGACTATACAATAAGATGCCTTTTCAAAAAGAGAAAAAGAGGATCTGGCGGGGTGAGGGGGAGTGTGTGGCTCCGTGGGAGAGGGTTGTTAGCATTCCCAAGGCTCTGGGGTCCATCCTCAGCACCACAAACTAAAATAAAAACCCTACTTACAGAAACTTCCTCAGCTACAATAGGAAAATAAGTCAATAAAGAAGATATTAAAGCTTTTATCTTCATATGCATTGATTTTCTCACAGTGTCCAGGACAATCTTACACAACTAACTCATGATAAAATGGCTGTCACAAGACTGAATTAACTATCCAGTTCAGACTCTCTGAATTATGAATTCCTTGACAAAGTGGGTGAGACATTCTTTGTTCTTAATTCTCATTCAGGTTCCGATAAAGTGGACATCATAATTATATTTTGGATGATGGGTACTAGTTGACTGTGTGCATCTAAAGGACACATTTGCATGTGGGATGGGCTTCATTGACTGTTTCCAGGTAACAAAACTGTCCTTCATCTTCTGAGACATGCTTCCAGAACGTGCAGAATAAAGCCTTCCCTTCAGCATCTCAGAGCAGAGACGCGCTTAGAAGTGATTTGATTCTCCTAGCAAACAGACTTCCTGAGAGCAAACTGCACCTCATACCTTCTTCGTCCCTTTTTGCAGGCTAGAGTCAAGAGCTCTAGTAGACACTGTCTTAGTCACTGTTCTACTGCTGTGAAGAGATTCCACAGCCAAGGCAATGCTTATAAAAGACAGCATTTAACTGGGGGCTTGCTTAGAGGTTCAGAGTCCATTGTCATTATGGAGGAGAGCATGGCAGCCTGCAGGCAGGCGTGGTGATGGAGAAGTAGTTGAAAGACATATCCTGATCTTCAGGCACAGAGAGAGAAAGAGAGAGAGAGAGAGAGAGAGATTGGGCCTGACTAAGCATTCAAATATACGAGCCTATGGAGACCATTCGGATTCAAACCACCACAGACATTTATGTTAGTGTTTCAGTTCAGGCCCAAAAGCTTCCCAGGAGCTCGTTCACTGGAGAAGGAAGATTGTCTTCAACAGTTCCTGGAGACAGACTCACCACAGACTGCCTGTGCTTGAGGCTTCTGCCCTGGACAGGGAGTGAGCCAACCTCCAGGACTCTACCCGAAGCTCCAGGGGAGTCGTTCCTGCCTCAGCCTCTGAGACTATGCACTTCTGCTGCAGACAAATATTGCCACAGTTTCTTCCAAGGCCTGCATTCCCATCAGCGACTGGCTGTTTTAGTTAGGGCTTCTATTGCTGCGAGGAAACACTATGAACAAAAAGCAAGTTGACAAGGAAAGGGTTTATTTGGCTCACACTTCCGGATCATAGTTCATCAATGGTGGAGGAAGTCAGAACAGGAACTCAAGCAGGGCTGGAACCTGAGGACAGGAGCTGATGCAGAGGCCATGGAGAGGTGCTGCTTACTGGCTTGCTTCCCCTGGTTGCTCAGCCTGATTTCTTTTTTTTTTTTTTGGTTTTTCGAGACAGGGTTTCTCTGTGTATCTTTGTGCCTCTCCTGGAACTCACTTGGTAGCCCAGGCTGGCCTCAAACTCACAGAGATCCGTCTGCCTCTGCCTCCCAAGTGCTGGGATTAAAGGCGTGCGCCACCACCGCCCGGCCTGATTTCTTATAGAACCCAAGATCTCCAGGTCAGAGAAGGCACTACCCACAATGGGCTGCCCTGCCTCCCTCCCCCATTGATCACTAATTGAGAAAAATGCCTTACAGCTTGATCTTATGGAGGCATTTCCTCAGCTGAGGCTCCTTCCTCTCTGATGACTCTAGCTTGTGTCGAGTTGACACTCAAAACCAGCCAGGACACCTGCAGACTTGATTCCGCAAAGGCTGCTCTCAGCTGGCACCCCAAAGCCCTTAAAGAACATTTGAGCTGTGGTACTCCTCAGAGCCGTGATGACTTCGGGCTTGCATCCTGCTGCTACTAAGTTCAAACCTGTTTCACTCAAATCTCAAGGGGCAGCCTGCTTTGAGTTGTTTTCATTTTTTTTATTTTAATTTTAAATACATTCTAGAAGGTTGTTTTTATTATGTGCATCTGAGTGTTTTATTCTACGCATATGTGACAGAACTGTGTGTTGCATGCGTCCCTGGTGCCCATGGAGGCCAGGGCCATCAGATCCCCCGAAGCTGGAGTCATGGATGCTGGGAGACACCTGATGTGAGCTCTCGGACCTTCCCAGAGTGTCTAAAAGCAGCAGGTGCCCAGGCTGCTGAGCCATCTCTTCAGCTTCCTGTTTGAAGTTTTGTTTTCTCCCCACTTAAGGTTGTACCCTCAAATACTGACATAACCAACCCATAAGCTTGAAAGTGTTCCTTTAACCTGTCTGAAAATTTGTCAGAAAATAACGTAACTTTCTCATTATGTATCTGGAACACTAGGAGTTGACCTTTTTTCATAAAAATAAATGCTGGGACTGTGGAGATGGCTCAGCAGCTGAAAGGATTGCCATTCTTCCATAGGAACTGGTTACTTTGGGAAGTAACTTTTTTTTAAAGATTTATTTATTATGTATACAGTCTGTATACAAGAAGAGGGTACCAGATCTCATTACAAATGGCTGTGAGGCACCATGTGGTTGCTGGGACTTGAACTCAGGACCTCTGGAAGAACAACTAGTGCTCTTAACCGCTGAGCCAACTCTCCAGCCTGGGAAGTAACTTTTGATAGACCAACTGTTGGAATTATTATACTTAGTTGTTCCTATCTCATGTGTCCGGGTGTTGTCTGTATGTCTGTGTATCACTTATGTGCCTGCCACTTGCTCTCAGAGGCAGACGAGGGTTTCAAGCTGGAGTAACTGATGGTTGTGAGCCTGCATGTGGGTGCTGGGAATCAAACCCCGGAAAGTCAGCCAGTGCTCATAACTGCTGAGCCGTCTTTCCAGTCCCTTGTTTTATTCACTGAAGTACTCAATTCTCTCATCCGTATCTCCTTGGACATTGTGTTCAGGGCCAATATTTACTCCATTTGAGTCTCAAACCATGCTCCACAGTGCCTCTAGGCATAACCAAAGAAGTCACTCTGACCCAAGTAAAACCCAGTCATTTGCCAATATTTTCACCAGTTAGGAATTAAAGGAATGTAGCCATAGGACTTGAAAATAAATTGAAGTCTCTTTTTAGCCATTTTTTGTTTTTAGTAGAGACCAAGATCCCATTCATTGCAAAGCGTTTTCCTAGGTATGAATGCCTGTGTTTGAGCCAGGAATCACAAATGATTGACTGTTACCCAGCAGTGGGTGGGTGGGGTGGGATTCCTGGCACTTTTTTTTTTTAAAAAGCAAAGGAAAAAACAACTGAGCAGAAGCTTGCACTTTCAATAGCTTTTTGTGGGAATGTAGATCAAAGAGGCCAGTTTTCAAAAATCCCCTTCTTGCAATGATTATAAATATGATTGTGCAAAGCCAAAAAAAAAAAAGTGTGTTCCAGGTCAATAGACAACTGACTTAGACTTTGCCTTTGGGGGCATTAACTAACAAGGCGGCTTTAGTTTAACTTTTTCATCTAATGGACTCTGGATCAAATGTTTACTTTTAAAATCTAAATATTTGCTTTTGCTAAAGCTAAACTGAAATGCTTGAGCGTGGAGCACAGGCCGTCAGTACTGAAAAGAAAAGTCTTGTTGGAGGTTGATGTGAAACCTACTGTGGGCCTTTAGGCAAATGTATTATAAATCATTACATTTTCCTGGATAATTTTACCATTATATAGAATACACTTTAAAATTTGAATTAAATAAAATATTTTTAAACTAATTTTAAGGTTATCTTATGAAGTACCGGGTTTCATTAGACATACAAATCAAGTGACCTACATAAATAAAAAGGCTTAACTATCTTCTGTGAGCAAAACTCCGGGGCCAGAAACCCTCAGTTTGACCTGTGGAATCCCGAGCATTGGATGTAGGGGTGCCAGCCGCATCAAATAAGAATAGATAATTAATCTGGTTTTGAGATAAAATACTGGGTATCCTATGGTTGTCTGGCACTCTGATTTAATAAAACAACAAGAGACAAAAGCTTTATCTTGGAGTGCCTCGAATCTTTTCTTTCATGTTGGTTTTCTAACCCTTTTCCCTTTATTTGAAAGATGTTTTTATTCCTGTGAGCTCACACATATGGGGTGGGGCAGGCAGAAGAGGAGCTGCCTCCCCTGGGGCTGGAGTTACAGGTGGTTGCGAGCTGCAGAACCCGAGGACTGGAAACTGAACTCGGCTCCTCTGGAAAAGCAGCATGCCCCCCTAAGCCTAAGCGCGGAGCCGTCTCTCCAGCCCCTGTCCACATCCCAGCCCCTGTCTTAGTGTCTGCCCTCCGGGATCTCTCATTCATTTAATTTTTCTTTCTGTTTTATTCATAAGCCGTTCCCTTTGCACTCCTGACTTTCTGATCCGTCTCAAAACTAAGCTACTACGTGTTCCTAGGGGAGGAAGAAGCGGAGCGGAGAACTGTGAGCACAAGCGAATCCTCGCACCGCCCGCCCGCAGCTGGGCTGCTCCGCAGTCATCTTCGCCAGCTCTGTTTTAATTCTCTCCGCAGCCTCCGGCAAGCAGGTAAACAAACAGCGTGGAACAGACTGCATGGCAAAGATTCTTTCACATCCAGGAAGTTTTTCTGATCCGCTCATCCCATGGCTTCTGGTTTAGAACCAGGTCCCTCCTACCACTACCAGATCTTTTGCGAGCTTAAAGTGGTCCGTTATAAATCTAAGAAAATACAATCGGACCAAACATGAAAAGTTATGTAGAAATTTGGGCACTGTTTTGAGAGTTGATTGTGCTAAGGAATCACAATTAAATGTTTTCGGGTGTGATAACGATATTTTAGTTATGTTTAAAATAATAATCTCGAAGCCAGGCGTGGTGGTGCCTTTAATCCCAGCTCTCGGGAGGCAGAGGCAGGCGGATCTCTGTGAGTTCGAGGCCAGCTTGGTCTACAGAGCAAGTTCCAGGACAGCCAGGGATACACAGGGAATCCCTGTCTCGAAAAAAGAAAAAAATAATAATAATAAATATATAATTTTTTAAATCCTTCTTTTAGATCTAATCAAACTGTTTGCAGGTCAATGGCATTTCTGGAATTAGCTTCATAATGTGTAGTGAGGCACATGGAAGAATCCATCAGATGACTGTGTTGGAAGTAGACAACGGGTTTACGTGAGTATATCATATTATTCTCTGTGGTTTTCAGAGTGGTTGAAATTTCCCCTATACGAATTTCAAGAGCCAGACTTAGAATCTCAGCAGCCAGGAAGCTGAGGCAGAAAGATCCCATGTTTGCAGCCAGCCTGGGTTAAAGCGTGAATTCTAGGCCAGCTTGGGCAACTTATCTAAACCCTATCTGAAAAAGCAGAAGAATTAAGTTAAATATTAAAAGTTACGTTGTGCCCACAAGCACACTGGACTGTAACCATTAAAAGAGAAAGTTCTCTGGTGCTTGCTACATCGTGGGTCAACCTTGAAGATGTCACATTAGGTGAAGGTAGAGGGTCACGGGAGGGCAGACACTGACCTGCTTACAGATGAAACCGAAGTATTTACATTCGTAGAGACAGGAAGGAGCATGGCTGTCTCAGCTGTAGGGAGAATTATTGCATAATCAGTGTAGCGTTTCTGTGGGAGGGACGGGCATAGTTATGGAGATGCTGGCGAGGGTTATGCAGCGTGGCAAATGCACTCAGTACCACCGAACTGCACACTTAAATGAGTGGAAATGTGAGACTGGGATGTAGCTCGCTGTAGAGCGCCGGGCCCTGCAGCTCCAAGGAGTGTTAGATTCCCCACTGTGGGGAGAGGGAGTTAAAATGATTAAGTGTTGTGTTGCACATGACTTACCACAATTTGTAAAAGACATAGGGACCAGAGAGATGGCTCGATGGTTAAGAAAATAAAAATAAAATAAATCTCAAAAAAAAAAAAAAGAAAAAATGTAGGGGGAACCGTACTTCTGGTTTCTCCAAACTGCACTGCTGTACACAATAGTGGCCTCTAGTGGCCACATCCATAAACTACAGCACTTAGAAGGCTGATAGATGGCCAGAGTGTGGTTTTGTCTCTGTTGTCAATGATTACCAGATTTCCAGATTCCGCAGCCAGAATTGGTGTTTTTTTTTTATATGACAATCTATATGATTTTTCCAAGATACCACCAACTACATAACAAAAAAAGACATTATATTATGCCCTCAGAGTAAAAGACATGCACTTTGCATTGGGAACATTTAGCATATCATATATAGTGTGTAAATACATACACACACACACACACACACACACACACACACACACACACACACACTTTGCTTTTACATCCCTTATTTGGAAACTAGACCTGGAACATCTTATGGACAGATATTACTCTGTAGACAGGCCTTTAGGTCTGCTGTCAGTTGAAGAACCCACTCTACACATGCTTTGCATAAATTCTCCCACAAGTACAGAGGCATTGTGAGGAAGTAGCTATAACTCCAGCTCTGTTACATGTAAGGCTCCTGCTGAATGTAGGATGACATTGGCAGTCTCACCCTTGGGCCCTGGTTTTTCCCCTGGGACCTTCCATGGAGTAATCTAAACTCTTCTGGAATTCCAATGTGTGAAGTCTCCTATCTCTCAGAATCCCATCTCTAGACTGACTCCTGACCACCTTTCTGCAGTCAGTACCTGTAGCACGAATTGTTAGAAGGTCTTATTAATAAAAACAAACCTGGAGCCAGGTGTTAGGGTGAACACTGGAAGATCAGAGAAGCAGAACAAGCCACAGCTATCTCACCTTGCCAATTCCTCAGCTGATCCTGTTTCCTCAGACTGGAGCTTCTGAGTCCTCATCCGAATGGATCTCAGCTGAACTGTGCTGCTAAAAGTTGAAAAGCTTAACCAGCTCTAAGTTCCTGGTCCTCACGCCTTATATACCTTTCTGCTTCCTGCCATCATTTCCTGAGATTAAAGGCGTGAGTCTCCATGCCTGGTTGTTTCCAGTGTGGCTTTGAACTCATAGAGATCCAGATAGATCTCTGCTTCTGGAATGCTAGGATTAAAGGCGTGTGCTACCACTGCCTAACCTCTATGTTTAATATTATGGCTGTTCTGTTCTCTGACCCCAGATAAATTTATTAGGGTGCATAATATTTTGGGGAACACAATATCACCACAGTACCAAGCCCTTAGCTGGTAGAATACAGTGTATTCTGTGCATTCCAGGGGTCTGCTTGCCATAAAGTGAAAGTCAAAAACATTTGTTGAAAGATTCTATGTAGAAAGCAAGTCTCAACAGATAAAAAAAAATTGAAATAACCCCCTGTATCTTATCAGACCACATGGATTAAAGCTGGATTTAAACAACAGCAAGCCTACAAACTCATGGAAACTAAACAGCTACCAGTGGGTCAAGGAAGAAATAGAGAAAGAAATCAAAGACTTCCTAGAATCCAATGAAAACAAATGCACAACATACCCAACTTATGGGACACAATGAGAGCGCTGCTAAGAGGAAAGTTCATAGCACCAAGTGCCTTCATAAAGAGTTTGGAGAAATCTCATACCAGCAACTTAACAACACACCTGAAAGCTCTAGAATAAAAAGAAATGAGCTCACCCAGGAGGAGTAGACAGGAAATAAACTAACTAGAAACAAAGAGAACAATACAAAGAATCCATGAAACAAAGAATTGGTTCTTTGAGAAAATCAACAAAATAAATAAACCCTTATCCAAAACAGCTAAAAGGCAGAGAGAGAATATCCAAATCAACAAACTTAGAAATGAAAAGGGGATGTAACAACAGACTCTGAAGAAATACAGAGAATCATTAGTCAAACTTCAAAAACCTGTACTCCACAAAATTGGAAAATCAAAAAGAAGTGGACAAATTTCTTGTTAGATACCACTTACCTAAGTTAAATCAAAATCAGATAAACAGTTTAAATAGACTGATAACCATAAGGAAATCCCAAGATGAAGGGATGGTTCAACATATGAAAATCTGTCAATGTAATCCACCACATCAACAAACTGAAAGAAAAAACCTTATGATCATCTATCTCATTAGATGCTGTAAAAGCCTTAGACAAAAATCCAACACCCCTTCATGATAAAAGTCTTGGAGAGATAATGGATACAAGGGACATAACGATAAATAGGTTGAGAAAGAAATCAGAGAATCAACACCCTTTACAATAGCCTCAAATAATAGAAAATATCTTGGTGTAACTCTAATCAAGCAAATGAAAGACCCATATGACAAGAACTTCAAGTCTTTGAATAAAGAAATTGAAGAAGATATCAGAAGATGGAAAGATCTCCCATGCTCATGGATCAGTAGGATTAATATAATAAAAATGGCAATCTTACCAAAAGCAATCTGCAGATTCAGTGCAATCCCCATCAAAATCCCAACACAATTCTTTACAGACCTTGAAAGAGCAACACTCAACTTCATATGGAAAAACAAAAAACTCAGAATAGCCAAAACAATCCTGTACAGTAAAGGAACTTCTGGAGGCATCACAGTCCCTCATTTCTAGCTCTACTGCAGAGCTGTCATAATAAAAACCAAATGGTATTGGCATAAAAACAGACATGTGGACCAATGGAATCAAATCAAAGACCCAGATATAAATACACACATCTATGGACACCTGATTTTCATCAAGGAAGCCAAAATTATACAATGGAAAAAAGAAAGCATCTTCAATAAATGGTATTGGTCTAACTGGATGTCAGCATGTAGAAGAATACAAATTGATCCATATTTATCACCCTGCATAAAACTCAAGTCCATGTGGGTCAAAGACCTCAACATAACTCCAGACACACTGAACCTGATAGAAGAGAAAGTAGGAAATAATCTTGAGCACATGGCATAGGAGACAACTTCCTAACAGAACATGGATAGCACAGGCACTGAGATCGACAAGTAACAAACGGGACCTCATGAAAGTGAGAAGCTTCTGTAGGGCAAAAGGCACCATCAATAGGACAAAATGGCAGCCTAGAGAATGAGAAAAATTCTTCACCAACCCCACATCTGACAGAGGGCTGATTTCCAAAATATATAAAGAACTCAAGAAACTAGATATCAACAAACCAAATAATCCAATTAAAAATGGGGTACAGATCCAAACAGGGAATTCTCAACAGAGGAATTTCAAGTGAATGAGAAACACTTAAAGAAATGTTCAACATCCTTAGCTATCAGGGAAATGCAAATCAAAATGACTCTAAGATTCCATCTTACACCTGTCAGAATGGTTAAGATCAAAAACACTGCTCAATTTTTAAAACATATCTAATATGACTACAACTTCTATTGTAATGTCTAACTACTAACTTTCATTTCTTTTTTTTTTTTTTTTATTAATTTATTTTGCAATACAATTCAGTTCTACATATCAGCCACGGATTCCCTTGTTCTCCCCCCTCCCGTCCCCCTCACCTTCCCCTCAACACCCCCCCCCCCATTCCCATCTCCTCCAGGGCAAAGCCTTCCCCACAGACTGAGGTCAACCTGGTAGACTCAGTCCAGGTAGGTCTAGTCCCCTCCTCCCAGGCCGAGCCAAACAATCCTGCATAGGCCCCAGGTTTCAAACAGCCAACTCATGCAATGAGCACAAGATCTGGTCCCACTGCCTGGGTGCCTCCCAAACAGATCAAGCCAATCAACTGTCTCATCCATTCAGAGGGCCTGATCCAGTGGGGACCCCTCAGCCATTGGTTCATAGTTCATGTGTTTCCATTCATTTGGCCATTTGTCCCTGTGCTTTATCCAACCTTGGTCTCAACAACTCTCGCTCATATAAACCCTCCTTATTCTCGCTAATTGGACTGAAGATGATGCCCCAACACTGTGGAGAAACCTCAGGTGACTGTCCAGGCAGCTGGCTGTTTCTGTCAACTCACAAATTTTTTGGAAGTTGCTTGCATGCACTTTCTGTTTTTATTTTTGTTAGCTAATATTATTTCCTTCTTGGGTCTCTGAGGGAGTTGAAGATTAGTTAGTTATAGTTGAAGGTTAGTTAGTTATAGTTGAAGATTAATTAGGATAGAAAGTGAATTAGATACATTTTGGACTTAACAAAATAGGATAGATAATGAAATTATTTTCTCTGAATTTGTCAAATACAAATGGACTAGACATTGTTTAGACATTTATTACTTGTATATATTGTATATAGTCATTGTACTTTTGTATATAGTTTTTCTTTTGTTAGTTATAACCTTTTTCTTTTTTTTCCTTTTTATTAAAATAGAAAAGGGGAAAAAAAAAAAAAAAAAAAAAAAAAAAAAAAAAAACACTGGAAGGCCGGGCGGTGGTGGCGCACGCCTTTAATCCCAGCACTCGGGAGGCAGAGCCAGGCGGATCTCTGTGAGTTCGAGGCCAGCCTGGTCTCCAAAGCGAGTTCCAGGAAAGGCGCAAAGCTACACAGAGAAACCCTGTCTTGAAAAACCAAAAAAAAAAAAAAAAAAAAAAAGGAAAAAAAAAAACACTGATGACAGCCTATGCTGGAGAGGATGTGGAGTAAGGGGAACACTCCTCCACTGCTGATGGGAATGCAAACTTGTGCAGCCACTTTGGACATCAGTGTAGCGGCTCCTCAGAATACTGAGAATCAATCATGACCCAGCGATACTGCTCCTGGGCATATACTCAAAGGATGCTCAATCATACCACAAGGACACTTGTGCAACTATGTTCACAGAAGCTTTATTTGTAATAGTCAGAACCTGGAAACAATCTAGATGTCCCTCAACCGAGGAATGAATGAAGAAAATGTGGTACATTTACACAATGTACTCAGGTAATTACTCAGCTGTTAAAAATAAGGACACCAGTAAATTTGCAAGCAAATGGATGGAACTAGAGAGAATCATCCTAAGTGAGGTAACCCAGACCGAGAAAGACAAACATGGTATGTACTCACTCATAAGTAGATATTAGCTACAAAATAAAGGGTAACTATGCTAACAATTGACAGACCTAGAGAGAATAGGTAACAAGGAGGGTTCACGGGGAGACACCCAGCTCTCCTTGGGAAGGGGAAATAGAAAAGATTTTGTGAGTGGACTGAGGGAGGGTGGAGATGTGAATATGAGCGATCAGGTTGGGGAGGGGGCATGAAGGGAAAGAATGCTGAGGGAGACTGCTGGGAGGTGGGGGGTACAATTTGGAGTAGGGTGGAAGCCTGCCACAGGGGAATCTCCCAAGAGTCAACAGAGAGGACCCCAACTTAGACCCCTAGAGATAGCCTATAAGTAGCCTGAACTGGCCATCTCCTGTGACCAGATTGGTGCCTGGCCCAATTGTCATGAGAGAGGCACCATCCAGCAATTGATGGAGGCAAAGGCAGAGACCCACAGCCAAACATTAGGCGGAGTTCAAGAATCCTGTGGAGGAGGAGGAGAAAGGAGTGTAGGAGCCCGAGGGGCCAAGGACACTTTGGGAAGACTCACACAATCAACCTGGACTCGTGGGAGCTTGTAGAGACTGAACTGACAACCAGGGAGCCTTGGTGGGACTGACTTAGACACTCGACAGATATGTTACAGTTGTGTAGCTTGGTCCTCCTGTGGGACTCCTAACAGGGGGAACAGGGGCTGTATCTGACTTTTTACTGGCTTTTGAGACCCTACTCATACTGGGTCACCTTGCCCAGCCTTAATACATGGGGAGGTGCTTAGTCTTACTCAACCTGATAGGCCATGTTTTATTGATACTCATGGGAGACCTGCTCTTTCCTGGATGGAGCAACAGGAAGAGGAGGTGGTTGAGAGGTGGGAATGGGGAGGAGGTACTGGGAGGGAAGGATGGGAGGAGGCTGCAGCCAGGATGTAAAAATAAATAGATGAATTAAAAAATAAAATAAAATAAAAAGATTCTAAGTAGAGGGCTGGAGAGATGGCTTGGTGGTTAACAGCACTGACTGATCTTCCAAAGGACCCAGGTTCAATCCCCAGCACCTACATGGCAGCTCACACCTGTGTGCAATTCTAGTTCCAGGAGATCCCATGCCCTCCTCTTACCTCTGAGGACAAACATGCAGGCAAAATACCCATACACAAAAATTTAAAATAAATTGATTTTTTAAAAGATTCTTGCCGAAGACACAGTTGCCATCCTTACTCCCCCGCTCCTCCCACATTCCTGCATCTAGACCTTACTAAGGTCCTTTACTGGTCACACGTCATCACTAAGCTCTTGAATACACCCTGTTGAGGCCATTTTTAAAACCAAGAACTAGCAAAAGACAATACTACAACAGGCTCTCTCTCTATCTCTGTCTCTCTCTCTCTCTGTCTCTCTCTCTGTCTCTGTCTCTCTCTCTGTCTCTCTCTGTCTCTCTCTCTCTCTGTCTCTGTCTCTCTCTCTCTCTCTCTCTCTCTGTCTCTCAATAGTGGGACCTGAACCCGGGACCTCTGCGCACCGGGGCGCTCTCTAGCATCAAGCTTTTAGCTCCAGCCATCTTTGTTTTTTATTTTGAGAAAAAAATTCACGAAACTGCTCATGCTGACTCTGACTCTGACTGTAGCCCAGGCAATCCTCCTGCCTCTGCCTCCTGAGTAGTTGGGATTACAGGCCAGAGTCGTGAGGGCCAGCTTCTAATTGACCTTTGTAATGCCAGGATCCAGAAACAATTCATTCTACACACTGGAGTAAGTGTTCCAGGGCTGAGCAGAGGAGATTGGCGTTGTAGATGGGGTTAAAGAAAACAGGTACAGGGGCTGGAGAGATGGCTCAGTGGTTAAGAGCCCTGGCTGTTCTTCCAGAGGTCCTGAGTTCAATTCCCAGCACCCACATGGTGGCTCACAACCATCTGCAATGAGATCTTCTACCCTCTTCTGACATAAATGCACACATGCAGGCAGAACACTGTATACATAATAAATAAATCCTTTTTTAAAGAAAGGCAGATACAGGAGTAAAGGTCAGAACCCCAGGCTTCCAGGCCTGTTCTTGTAGCCTGGTAGCTTTTAACTATGTCATTCCTAAGAATAAAGTTAATTTAGTAAGTTAACACACATAAGACACACACAGGCCCTTTGAAGGCTCTCAGAAAAATGAGCAAAATTTTGGAAGCTAAAAAAAAAAAAATTTACATCAGCCATTTCGACCATCAACAAGTGGTTGTGTTAAGCTTGTTGGTGAATTTGAACATTGACACTGTGTGGGGACTCCCCAACCATGATCACTGGCATTCCCCAGAGTCTGGATATGCACTATAGGCTGCAGATCTTTGAAAAGTTACAGATGAGACACACACAGGCTGTGACTGGTTTTAGAATACTCCCCCATGGGCCAGAACTTGCTCTAAAATCAGCACGAGTAAGAGTCATACTGATTTCAGAAGCAAAATCAAGACCAGGGTAAGCAGACAAAAATATTTTGATCATTTAAAAAGAAAACAAGGGCCAGTGAGATGATTCAGAAGGTTAGAGCATTTGCCGTCAATCCCGGCAACCTGTGTTCAAACCCGGGCGCCCACAGTAGAAGAGATCCAACTCCTGAAAGTTGTTCTCTGACCTCCACACATGTTCTGTGACACACATGTACACACACATACACACACCACACACAAGCACACACACCACACACAAGCACACACAAACACCACACAAGTACATGCACAAATGAACACATGACCACCCAGGAACACAGCACATACACATGTACTCATGTGTACACACATACATGCATGCTTGCACTCAAATACACACGCATACACTCACACACATACATACACCACACACAAGCACACACACACATATGCACATGCACCAATGAGCAAATGCCCACCCAGGAACACGACACACACACATATACACACATGCACACACACACATATACACAGTTAGTTTAAAGGAAACAAAAGCCAGGCATGATGGTGCAGGCATATAATCCTAGCACTCAGGAAGTCAAGACAAATAAGTCAGGAGGACCAGGAATTCCAGGCCAACCTGGGCTACATAGTGAAGTCCAGGCTAGCCCCAACTTCAGGGTGAGCCCCTATATCAAAGAAAACAAAACAATAACAACAACAAAAAAGCCAAGAAAACAACAACAGGAAATGAGCGTCTATAAAGCAGCGTGTGCCTGATATGATGCCTAATGTGAAGTCCGAGGCAACTCTCAAAAATGTAATGAACCTCAGAGAAAAGAGATTTCTACCTCAGTAATATTTGTCACAATTCACATACCAAGACCACCAGACAGGGCAATCGAAGTGCTGTGTGTTGAGGTTTACTTTTATTTTTAAAATGTTACCTTTTAAATGTTAAATGTTGTGAGATCCGTTGTGTATGTGTGTGTGTGTTGTTGTTGCTGTTGCTATTGTTGTTTTGAGACAGGGTCTCATTACACAGCCATGGCTGGCCTGGAACTCATAGAGATCCTCCTGCCTCTGCCTTCTGAGTACTGAGATTAAAGTTGTGCATCCACCACACTTGGCCGGTTTTGGTTTTTGAGACAGGGTCTCGCTTAACTCGGTCTGATCTTGAACTCCTGCCCTGCTGCCTTGGTCCCAAGTGTTGGGATTGCTGACTCGCCCCGCCACACCCAGCTCAGACTCTGGAAACATTCTCCTGACCACAGGTTTTCAAACTTCTACTTAAGTGACAGATCCGTCTCCAAAACAAAGGCCCCACCTTGGAAATCCGGTAGAAACAAGGGAAGCTGGAGTTTGGTTTTCTTAGGTTCCAATGCTGCTTTGAGACCCTGTATTTTCTGAGACCTTTCTTTAAGAGGCGAGGGTGACAGAAATGAGCCTCCATCTGAAAGACATAGAAAATGAAGAGATGTAATTCTGACCTCATTATGGGCACATCACTTCCTGTACTGTAGCCAGGATCTGACATGCGCTCCAAAGGCTCATGTGTTACAGGCTTGCTTACCAGCCCACGGTGCCAGAGGAAGGTAGGGACCTGAGGTGGGGGGGGGGGGGGGGGCTTCACCGCAGGGAGTGAGGTCATCGGGGTGTGTCTTTGAAGGCATGTCAGGACCTTGGCCCTTTTCCCCATGTTTTGTTTCCTGGCTTCCATGGAGAGAGCTATGTCTTCAGCCACGTTCTCTGGCGATGATACAATGTGAGTTCAAGGCCAGTCTGGTCTACATAGTGCATTCCAGGACTGCCAGGGACATGTAGGGAAACCCTCTCTTAAAATTAATTACTAGTTAATTAATTAAAAAATGGAGGCATATGATTAAAAAGTCACACATGCTCTTTCAAATCAGGTCAGACATTCAGAAGGACAACAGTGAAAGTAAGTTTCCTCATCCAAACCTGTCCCCTGAGGTCACCACACCCTTCTGAGCTTGTATTCCACAGCACACAAGCTCGTAGGTAATGTGTGAATTAGGAAGTTTCTAAAAATATTTACCTTGTGTGGAAAGTGTGTGTGCCTGAGTGTATGTGTATGCATCATGTATGTGCAGGGGCTGGAGGCGGTCAGAAGATTGCATGCATCCTGGAGTTACAGACATGGTGAGCTGACATTCGGGTGCTGGGAACCGAACTAGGGTCCTCTCAAGAGCTCAAGAGCAGTAAGTAAGCACTCTTAAACGCTGACCTATATTACCCTAGTCCTAAATTAGAAGGTTTTGTTTTTTACTTTTTATGGAGGAGGATTTTGTTTTGAAATCTCTTTTAATGGAGGAGGACTTTTGTTTTGAAATCTCTTTTTATGAAGGAGGACTTTTGTTTTGAAATTTCTTTTGTTGCTGTTGTTTGGCTTCTTGATTTGTTTTTGAGACTGGCCTCAAATTCACTGAAGCAGCCTGGCAATCTTGAATTCCTAATCTTCCTGCCTCAAGAGCTGGGATGACAGGCAGTGCTCCCACACCTGCCTGGTGTTCCCTCACCTGGTTGATGCTCCCACACCTGCCTGGTGCTCCCACACCTGCCTGATGCTCCCACACCTGCCTGATGCTCCCACACCTGCCTGGTGCTCCCACACCTGCCTGATGCTCCCACACCTGCCTGGCGCTCCCTCACCTGCCTGGTGCTCCCTCACCTGCCTGGTGTTCTTTTTGTCTTTTCTGAAGTCATTCTGTAACTTGCTATATTCCTCTTATTTATTGTGGCCAGCGGCTCATGTTTTTATTATTCCACTTTGTGGATATACCATAATTTGCTCATGTATTTCCCTACTGACAGACACTTGGATCTTTACAATATTTTGCAATTAAAATAATACTCCAAGAACACCTTGGATTGACATGTTTCCACTCGTGTACCCTGTTTCCATGGATACTGTTGGGGTGGTAAGTGTGCACACTACCCAGTGCCCAGGGCCCAACCCCCCTGCCGTTACTGCTCTTATCCTGCTTAGTGGGAGTGCATTCCTCTCTTCCTAGCTACCATCTACAACAGTGTAAAGTCCCTGTCCCCAAGCTCACAGCCCTCTTTAGTGCTCAGAACTATGTCCATCAAAAGCCACACCACCTGTTTCTTGGCGGCCAAGAAGAAGACTAACTTCAGGAGCTGATTCAAGGATGTCTTGATTTGTGCTGCTGATTGAGCACAGGATTCCGCCAATAGACACACATATGAATACATCCTGGCAATACATAAGGCGGGATAATAAGTGGTACTTTTCAACATCTTAAGCTTTGCTTAGACGGTACATGCCTATAATCTCAGCACCAGGAGGCTAAGACAGGAGGATTGTAGTGAGATCAAAGCCAGCCTGGGCTACATAGCAAGACTCTATCCCAAATTAATAAATATAAAATTAGTTCTAAAACAAATGTCATTTTTATTAAAACCTATCTTTCATGAGAAGAAAGGTCTATATTTGAAGCCATACAAACTACCAAATATTTTTTTTAGCGTTCCTACCACTTGAGTTATACCAAATGAGAGGAACACATTTGTACATGGCATTCCCTATTTTATCTATCTACAGCTTCTAGAAACTACCACACATTAACTGGCATCTGCTCACACCCTTCTCATGTCTCCGTGCTCTGACCCATCTCTTCCGCCTCCCTCTTCCATACTGGAGAATATATTTTTGTAGCAAGAATCTTAAAAGGTCTTATTTTTAAAAAAACAAACAAACAAACAAACAAAAAAACTCAGGGCCAGGTATTGGGGTGAACGCTGGAAGATCAGAGAAACAGAACAAGCCACAGCCACCTCACCTTGCCAGTTCCTCAGCTGATCCTGTTTCCTCAGACTGGAAACCTCTGTGTCCTCATCCAGAATGAATCTCAGCTGAACTGCTGCTCAAAAGCCTAAAAGCTTAACCAGCCTATTTCCTGGTCCTCACTGCTTTCTGCCATCACTTCCTGGGATTAAAGGCATGAGTCACCATGCCTGGCTGTTTCCAGTGTGGCCTTGAACTCACAGAGATCCGGATGGATTTCTGCCTCTGGAATGCTAGGATTAAAGGTGTAAGTGCCACCATTTTCTGGCCTCGATATCTAGTGGCTGTTCTGTTCTCTGACCCCAGATAAGTTTATTAGGGTGCACAATATTTTGGGGAACACAATATCACCACATATTTTTATTGTATTGGATCCTCCTCCCATACGGCCAAGATAACCTTGTTAAGGTCAGCTGATGGCCATCTGTCATCTGTGATCTGAATCCTCTTTGTGAATAAGTCACACCCATAGGTTCTAGGGAGTAAGCCCCTGTGGCCATCTCAGGAGACCGTTATTTACCAACTACAGACACCAGGAGTTAGAAGGTGGGGACAGAGGCCTCTACGAAGCTTCTGAGGAGTCCAAGTCTATATGAGGAACGTCCTTTGGCCCTGAGGCGTGGAAGGGAAGGAGGGCTGGCCAGCTCTTTGCAAGGACAATGATTGACAGGTGGGATAAGTTGACAGATGCTGAAATAGCTGGCCTTTATCTGCCAAGGTGCCTGGATCTCAGAAGGACAGGGGACCTCTGAAACACCACAGCCCTAGCTTCCTAGGTGGGGTCTACGGGCAGCTGGAAAGGCCTTGTGTGGACTCTGTTATGTCCTCCACAACCAGGGTACACAAGGAGCTACTCTGGCAGGTTCATCAGCCTTACATACACAACTGGAGACCTGAAATTGGGATTAATGCCCTGTCTCAGAAGGCCCGGGGCCCAGACAGGCACAGTCAAGGCCCTCCCACAGGCTAGTGAGGTCCGGTACTTGTACTCTCTGCAAGCTTCCCAAACTCCTCAGAGCTGGGTGTGTCATATGCCTGTAATCCTCAGGACTCGGGGGGCTGGGGCAAAGAATCAAGAGTTAAAGGTCCAGCCTGGGCCACAGAGTGAGTCCCAGTCTCCAAAAGAAGGCTCACAGGTTTGAAGAGTCTGGGCCTCTGAGAGTTGTCAACACGGTGGCCCTCAGGCCTCTGTGGTGTTGAGGCCTCATGTCACAGTGGAACAAAACTAGTCATCTCACTGTTGGGAGGTATAAGTGATGACGAAGAAAATCCCAGATCCCACTATGCCTTACAAAAACAGGTCCCCAGTGACCCAAGAGCCTCTTAGAGGCTTTGCCATCTCCCAATAGTACTGCCCTGAGGAGCAAGCTTTTACCACCTGGGCCTTTGAAGGCTGCTTAAGATGAAGCACAGTCTCACTCGCCCAGACAGTAGTTCACCAGGGCCTAGAGTTCTCCACATCTTCTATGAAAAGAAGTGTATTTCTACCAAAAGTCAAGTTTTATCACACAGCTGTACGGCCCTCCAAATCACTCTACCTCTCACTTGCTAGTACGTGATGAATGATCTCTTGTACAGAGTTTAAATTTACCTCATTGTTTTGAAGCCTGCCTAGTGTGGATCGTTATGGCCATGCCAGGATGTGCCAGTCAGCTTCTCCTGTTGGCATTTAAGGCACTTCTAACTGCAGATGTGCTGGATGGGGGCATCTGGGTGGGAGTGTGGAGAGGCGGCAGGCCTCTATGTCTCCAACTGTGCCTGCCTTTTCAAGTGTCATGACCTCAGGAATGGGGACCTGGCAAGACACAATGACCCTTTTCTATTCCTTGGAACAAGTGGTTTCCTCTAAGGAAGGTACTTTTCCGGAAAACATGTTATTTCAAGGCCTCTTGATTCCAGAATGCAGCAAGTCCCACAGAGAAACCCTGCCAGGTTTCAGAGCCAGGGACTGTGGAGAGAGGGCAATGGGCGTGTCCTTCCCCTGCCTCTTACAGCTGGGGGCTCAAACAAGCTAGGTGGGCCTCTCATCTCTGCACCCCAGCATACTGAGGCAGAGGCCCAGGATAGCACGCACTGGCTGGAGCCAGAATTCACACAGCTCATTCACCCTGCCCTTCACCTAGGGCTGGAGCTGACAAAGAAGCCCCGTGGCAGGAGGGCAAGTTAGACCTGTAGAGCAATCTGAGCAGGAGCTTCAACGCCCTCGTGGACTGCAGTCTGCTCTTCCAGGGTCCCAGCCCTTAGCGCAGGAGGAGGGAGGGGTGGGCGCCTCAGCTCAGGAGCTACCAGGAGAGATTGCAGGTGGTCCTGCAAAGGTCCCATCTCCAAAGCCGATGTGCAGCTAGGGATGGGTGTCAGTAAGTTTGGCTTAGGTAAGCCTGAGGAGCCAGGTCCCCCAGCGTCCATACCTCCTGAAGATGTGCATTGGAGCCTGCTGAGGTGACACAGACATGATGAGCACCCCAACCTTGCTCCTGCAGAGTTGCTATTGCCCCCAAAGCACTCACGAAGCAGCGGCAGCTCGGCGCCCCCATCTGAGCAATGGAGATCATGGGGCTGCTGTGGGCAGACAAGGTGATATACGGTGAGAACATAGTACCTTCTGCATTATAAGAATCTGTGAAAACTGCCAGCAGCGATGGAGCAAGTGGAAAAGGAGCTAGGTTTGGAACTGGGAGGGCTGGGTGCCAGAGTTCTGCCCCAGATCCTTAGGCTGGCCTGGAGCAACTGCTTCCCCCACCACCACCAGCTAAACATTGCCTGCTTTGCTGGTGTTCCGGTGCCATTCTGTCTTGTCCTGGTGTTCCGGTGCCATTCTGTCTTGTCCTTAAGCAGCTACCTTTCCCTCTGGCAACGGTGGGTGGAAGGGCAGCCTTTGGCAGTAAGGGGGCTCCCTGCTGGCTGCTGCTGGGCCTCTCCTTCTTCTGACACACCAGGCTGCAAAAGTGAGCACGGCACACCACATCCCTCATGTACCATACACGCACCACACACACCAGACACCCACGACACAGCACACAAACATACCACACCACCCACAGTCAAACCACACACACAGCACACACACGCCTACCACACACTCCACGTGCACACATCGCATACACCCTGCAAACATATACCACCCCTCAACACACACCTAACATGCCACACATCACACATCATGCACATACTACATGTGCAAGCCAATTTGATGTCAACTTGACACAAGCTAGAGTCATCTGAGAGGAGGGAACCTCAAGTGAGAAAATGCCTCCATAAGGCTGGGCTGTAGGCAAGCCTGTCGAGCATTTTTTAAATTAGTGATTGATGGAGGAGGGCCCAGCCCATTGTGGATGGAGCCATCCCTGGGCTGGTGGTCCTGGGTTCTATAAGAAAGCAGGCTGAGCAAGCCATGAGGAGCAAGCCAGTAAGCAGCACCCCTCCATGGCCTCTACAGCAGCCCCTGTCCTGACTTTCTTCGATGATGAGCTGTGATGTGGAATCACAGGCCAAATACACCCTTTCCCCCAAGTTGCTTTGGTCGTGGTGTTTTATCACAGCAATAGGAACCCTAACAAAGACACCACATACACTACACAGGCACTGTACACGTTGCCCATACCACATATCATGAACCATATCCAAACCACACATCAGATACATACAACACACCATATATACACATGCACATCCACAATCCATGTGCACATCACAGCCTAAAAAGTGGCTGTTCACTCTGCTCACCAATCCCATTGTCGACCCTTACGTTGCTCTCCTCTGTGCTCTCTTCTGACAGCCCCTGCCATCTTCAGCCGGTTCCTCAGCCTCTCAGACTCATCCTGTCCCCATAGAGTTACCAGATAAAATGCAGGATGCCCCGTAACACTTGGTCGGTCTTACAATGGACGTTTTGGTGTGCGTTCTAAACATTTCATGAAACACATTTTTACTAGAAATTACTTGACATCTACATGAATTCCCAGCTTATCTGGCAGTATTGTGTTTTTATTTGTTAAATATGGCAACCCCACTGCCTAGATGCTCTGTTCTGTGTTCTCCCCCACTTTCCTGCCCCGGCTCTAGCTGGACCTCTCAGCCCTGTCCTTTGTCAGCTTGCCCCGCCCAGGGAGGACAACCATAGCATCTCCCCGCCCTCACACCCACCTCCACAGTCCTCTGAGAGCCTGGGGTCCATGTCCTGCCTCAAGAGTCACCTCCCCACTGCAGCAGCAGGTGGCCCTGCCTTCATTTGTGCCTGGACCCTGCACCTGCCTAGTCCGGAAAAAACAAGGTGGCCTCGGTGGTCTGCTTAGCATGGACTGCCTGGAATCAGGCTTCCCTTAGGAGGTGACTGGTGTCCATACTCTTCTTCAGGCCAGGCCAAGCTGCTGCCTCTCTGCCCCACAGGTTCTCTACGCCAGCACCTTCCTGGATCTGCTCACTAGTTTCTTCTCCCCTCCAGTCCAGCTCAGGGGCCTCCTCCTCCCAAACTTCCCTGGGCTCCCCACCCCCGCCCCCCAGCACCCGAAGCATGTTGCTCCTGCTCTGTCAGTGCGGGGAGCACGTCTGCCTGACTCCCACCTTCTCTGAGCACACAGAGCTCTGTCCGCGCTCGCTGAATGGCGGACAGGTGAATGAGTAATGGAATGAATGGGTAAAACGCACGGGTACGTGAAGAAATAGGACCCAGTACGTGATTGGGTGAGTAGATGGATGTCGTAGTTAGGGTATCTATTGCTGTGATAAAATACCATGACCAAGGGCCACTTGGGAAGGGGACGCACACACACACACACACACACACACACACACACACACACACACACACTGTGGTCCTGGGCTCAAGTGCTTCATTGTATTTGGGGCTCACCCACCTCCAAGCAGTCTGGGTATCCCTGGGACTCTGCAGAGTTCCTGTGGACCTCCAAAGAAGGTCTTCAGAGCCTGCCTCGGGGCAGAGCTCCACCTAGGGTGAAGCCAGGCCCCTGGCCAGCAATCACTCAGAGGGAGCTAAGGTGAGAGTTGACTCAGTTTGACTTCTTCCTCTGCCCTGCTTCCACCTTTCCACCTCACAGGTGCTCCCCTCACAGCAGACGTCTCTCAGCCCGCAGCAAGGTCCTCCACTTAGTCCCCAGGAACCCCTGCCCTCCCTTCTGGCATCTCTATGCAAGTCCTAGTCGGGCACTTGGTGTCCGGGTGATGAGGACATGTTTCCAGGAGCTTCTATCATCTCCCCAGATTCGCTCTACCCCTACCCCATCTAGCAGCCGGACTCTCTTCCAGTACCTCTTCCCCGCCATCTCTACCTCCACATCTCTCCAAACCCAAGCCCATCTCTCTGGGTCCTTCCTATGGCAGCCACGTGTCTGACACCCTCACATCCCAGAGCCCCCTCGTTCAGTCTTGTCTCCTTCAACAGGCCAGTCCTGAGACAGTCACCTATCCAGGGCTAGATGCAGATATACGATCCCGGAGGCCCATGGTTCTCCACTCTTCAGATCACAGTCTTTAAATATGAGATGGCATCTATTCTGTGATCATAGAGAGGGCAGATTTTCTATTAATAAGAAACAAATGTCCCTTTATTTGTGGTAAAAACAACAACTTCTTCACATGCACTGAAATGTAACAACATTTAACTTTTTTGGAATTATCTCTCAGCTCACAATGTCTGTATCATTCCTAAGTGACGCAAATCCCTCACATCTGCTAAGAATAGACGCGGTCTGTCAGACTGTAGCAATAAAGCAAGTCTTGTTCAAAACGTGCTTAAAAGTCTTCTCGGTGGCCTTCCTGCTAATGAAACACCTTGTGCTTTCTGTGGCTCTTTTACTATCCTGCTTCCTTTTGTGGTTTTCCCAAGCAGATCTGGAAAGACCCATAAAAGGATATACGTTCGCAATTATAAAATAAGTCACTTGTTCCCAGAAAACAGCTTTTTGAAAGGTTTCAGAGTTTCAGGGCTGATTAAGGAGCAAGTCTCAGGGTTGGGCGAGGCATCCAAAAACACAAACAAATAAGAAGTAGTTCCTCAAAACGTCCACTTGAGGGCGCGGGCTCCTTGGGTGGCGCATCCACCTTTATCACAGGCATCCTGCTGACAGGGTGCTAACTTCTGGGGAGGTTCCACAGCTGGCTGGAGCTACCCCACCATAGAATGCCACACAGTGTCTGTCCACACCTCCTCAGCCCCGCTGTGAGTAGGGCCCAGCTGATTTCTCAGCTAAGAGGAAACTCACACATGATCCTAATACCTCAGGTCCCCCAGGATAGGGGGCAGAGCAAGGAGATAGGGGAGAAAAGGCAAGAAGTTTATGGAACATTTAAAGGCAGAGACAGAGGCCTGGGAAGAGCGAGATGCCAGACCATGGCTATTGAAGGGGTAGGCAGGCCTGACCCACTAGCAGAGCAAAGCTGAGGGACTGCCAGCCTCACACAACAGTCCAGAAGTTCTGGGCACTCGGCAGTGGCCGGGATTGGAGACCAGGCCCTGTGAAGAGCGATGCTTCCTGGTGAAATGTGGCCACGGTGAAGCTGTTCCTGGGGTCCCTGTCTGGGTCTCCGGTCTTCAAGTCATAGCTGAAGTAGCAGAGGATGCAGGTGATGGCCATGGTGACAATAAACAGCACTGCCACCATCCCGATCACCATGGTCTCCATGGCTTCTGATGGCACTTGTCACAGGAAGGGGGTCTCTGAGCCTTAGCGTCCCATCAGAAACGGCCTCTGTGCTGGATGGCCGTCTCTCCTCAGTCTTTTAAGACGCTGGTCTGCGGTCTTGGATTGTGGCATCCCGGGCCAGTAACCCTTCTGCGGGAATCAGATGATCCCTGGTCTAGTTTTTAACCTCAGGTCAGATGTCAAGAGATGTGGTCAACTGCACTAGCATCTTCTCGAAGCCCCATCAGGAAAGATGTAAGCACATGATTCCCTGGACATGGAGGAGGCAGGTGAAAGAGAAGCAGAAGATGTTGCTGAGAGAGATGCCAGGCTGGCCCATTAGCAACGCCTCAGGACTTCAAGGGTGACTGATGAAAAAAAAAAAAAAGCAACTATACACTCAGGAAGACAAAAGCCTCCCCGTTGGTGGACCCAGGAGGAGCCTGGCTCCTCTGGGGGAGGGACTCAGGGCCAGCCTTCCAATTGGCCTCTCTGCTGCCCTCCCAGCCCCTGGACCTGGGCTGGGAGGCAGGTGTGGAGAAAGACACATGCCAGCTCTGAGCATGGTGGGAGCGAACCGAGGCAGCACACACAGGTCGTTATGGATGCCGGGGGTCTCCAGGTGGAGGGGGGAGAGGGGAGAGAGGGTAGGTTGTACTTGGCCTCACCAAGTTCTGGGCAGGGTTGGAAAGTGTGGTTTAGACAGGGAAGGACCTCGTCCAGCCCCTTCAGTGATGCATCATAGGGCCCTTTCACTTCCCTACACACCCACATAGGGCCCCCCTTTTTGCTGCCCCCCGGGGCCCACTACTCACACTGGGTGCTATGAAGACTTACCCCCGGACCTCAAGCGTGCCAGCTCTGACTGTACCTGATGCCATACGCTCCTTGGCTGGTGACCACCCCAGGTGGCCACGACTCCCTTCCCTGAAGCCTGCTGTGAGTTTTGTTGGTGCTGCCTGGAACTTGGCTCGGAGATGTCTGAGCAGCTGTGAGTACTTCCTGAATCCCTTCCTCCAATTGTGATTGAAGGCCTGTGACCCACAGCCACCACCTCCTCAGCTCCAGCACTTAGCCCGCCCCGCACACTTGCAGGATCATTCCTTAACTGCCCCTTGAGAGGTATCAGGGGAGGGAGCTCCGTCCAAGCCCACTCATACCAGGCGCCTCCCGAGACTATACCACATTCAGAAAGAAATCTGTGTTATCAGCCTGCCCTTTACCATATTATGAAAAATGGAGTCTTCCGGGTACTGGACGTAGCCAGGCTCTGGTCCCACAGCCCTGGGCAATGACAGCGCCTCCATTTCACAGGTACAGTCACAGAGCAGATACGCCTGGCCAGGACTGTTGCCAGTTAGTCATGACAAGGACAACACCAAATGGCAGAGCAGGGATTCCCTTCCCTCTACTCCAATGCCCTCTTCACAGGAACCACACAGAGTGATCACCTGACTCTGCTGTTTGCCTGATCAGGATCCCAGGGCCCCCCAGGAGAGAGAGAGCTGGGCCCAAGGTCATGCAGCTGGGAACTTTTCCAGTCTCTCCAAGGCCCAAGAGAACTTCGGGAACAGTATGAGTAAACACTCCGGAGAAAGCGCAAACAATACGCTGGTCTATTCTAGCACATCCCCTTTTCGAAGACGTTCCCACAATCTGGGCTCGTCCTCCTCGTGGGTACAGGGAGTCAAGCACTTGGCAATATCTGTCTTAACTGGGGCAACCAGAAGTAGACAGATGCAAACAGGAAGCACACATCGGAGGTATCTGAATCCCCAGCATCGCCTGGTGGGGCTGGGAGATGAGCCTAGCATTTTCATCAGGAATACAGAACACTTGTCCAGCCCCGTTACCTTCTACCTCATGCAGTTTTCTACCTAAACTTTTCCCTCTCTCCCACCCTTGACTTATCTGTAAAGTCCCTGTGAAGCTACAGAAGTGGGCGGGTCTGCAGCAGGCCGAATTCGGGAGCTGTGAAGGGGCAGGGGCTGAGGGCTGAGGGCTGGGCTGAGCATGGAGATGAGGAAGGAGAGATGGGTGTGGCGGACACTCCAGAGAGAAATCAATCCACCAGACCTCTCGTCCATTTTCCCATCACAGAAACCCAATGTGGGTGTCATCGTCAGCGACCTCTCCCTTCCTCCCTGGCCACTCCTCCCCTGGGAAAGGGAAGGAAAAGGGACATTCTATTCCAGTGAGTCACCCTGACTGTCTGGCCAGTTCCCTCCCCCACTGAGCCTTGTCCTGATTCTCCCTTGTTCCCAGGCATAGCTGGGACAAGATTTCCTTTCCCCTTCGTGGATTAGACCATTTATGCATGACGTATTTGGGACCCTGCATGCCTGTTGACTTTGGTAGAAGTCTCTACTATCCATGTTATTCTTAAGGAAGGGGAAACTGAGGTCCAGGCCAGGCAAGCATCTCTAATGGCCACTCAGCACTCCAAGCAATTTAAATGACTCTGTTCCCTCCCTCTGATTTAATCTGCCCCTACAGTGAATCTGCAAACAGGCTGGCTGAGTGAGACTCAAGGTCTGGATGAGTATCCCTCCCAGTCCCCAAAGAAACACTGGACCAGTACAGCCAGAGGGTGGAGCCTGCCCTGGACCAGGTTCAGAGGAGCGCTGGAGGCAGAGTGCTCAGGAACCCAGTCTAGGTGATCTGGATGTCCAAAGCCCTGGATGTCCACGCTGAATGTTTCCTTGTAGCTTAGGCAGGGACCACCTGCTTCTCTTCATTCTACAGGGAGATCCAAAGGTCCAGCTTCTTCTCATCCCAGAAGAGTTCCCAGGGCTCTGTGACACAGCGCTGGTGGCACCCTCCTCCCATTTCACACACAAAAAATAAACACTTTCTGATGGCTTTTATTTCTTATAACCAAGCAACAATGAATGGTCGGGGCTGCCCCATACACATCATCACAGGGCCTCCCAGTCAGATGAGCACTTCATATCCACCGGGCACTGGGTCCATCGAACACTCTTGTAACTTCCGTGGTCACCAGGAATTGCAGTCACAAGGTAGGGTGTCCAGCCAGCCCTGCTCCAAGCCCAAGCCCTGCAGTGTTCCTGCAGTGTATAGGGCTACCCACGTGGTTCTCGCGTCTCGGTTGCACAGTGGGAGAAGGGCTCATAGACAAATGAAACTGAAGCAGGACTCAGGTCCCAAAACCCCCATCCACCCCAGAGACAAGTCCTTTTCTATGGGCACATCAGGGTCCACTCATTTGGTGCTGGATGGAGGGCAGGGCCAGGTAGATACCATCCATTGGCCTCAGCGGCGGGCTCCATGAGCATGGTGGTGGTGGTGGTGGTGGTGGTGGTGATGGTGGTGAGGAGAATGGTGATGGTGCTGGTGGTGGTGATGAAAACCTGCACTGGTTACCCCAGTCATGTGGCCACGATGATGGTGGTGATGGTGAAAGCCTCCCAGGAAACCCCGGCGCCGGCGCCGGCGTTGGAAGAGTCGAGGCCTGATTTGCAGGACTCCGTTTCTCTCCACGTCATGCTCCTCTGATCTGTGGAAAAGACAGATGGCCAGCAGCAGCAGCAACATCAGCATAGCCAGCACAATGCCTGTGATCCAGCTCACAAGGGTTGTATTCCCCAGAAGGCTTAACATCTGGAAGCCAGAGGGTCCCCCTTCACTCGGTGGTGGCTCCATGTAGCAGCCTCTGCTCGGCCCTCACAGTCCCTGAAGTTAAGGTTGTCTCGGCTCCTGCAGGCTGGAGAGCAGCCAGGGAATGTGGGAGAGGCCTGTTTGGACTAGCTTCTGAACCAAGAGCAAGGCCAGCAGACTGTGTGAGAGGAGGCCACGCAGGAAGAGTGGGTGGAGACAGCGGAACTGTGGGACTAACTTGCTTGAGGGGAGGGCCCTGAATATAGGGATAAGAGGTCAACATCCCATCTCTTCCTGCTTCCTGGCAGAGGGAGGGCCCTCCTCTGGGCTTCAGTTTCCAAGAAACCACTGTACAGAGATTAAAGGTGTACGGTTTGGACCCACACAACTCCCAAGCTCTGTGACTGCAACCTGCAATGTCCACAGCTCATGGTAAGAGTCTGTCCAATGAGTCAGCCCAAGTCCTGGGAACATCAGTGAGGAATGGCTGGAGCCTGATGAGGACCACAAGCAGTTCTCCATCCAAGAAGGCCCTTGCTTCTCCTGCCGGGTCTAGGAAGCCAGAGGACTAGGTGTCAGTCTCGGGTCAATGGGAAGCAGAAGAAAGCCACTTGAGGTCACACAGGCCAGCCCCTGGACTCCCAGATCAATGGTCTCAATGGCTGGCAGCCTCCTTGTTCTCTCATCCTCCCTGTCCCAAAGTTCAGGTCATTCCTACCTGCCTGGGGACTCGGACAGCGACCAGAATGTGCACAGTCTTCAACTCACTCATTACTGGTTCTGAATCTGCTACTCCTGGTCATTACAGATGAGGCTCATGGTCTCCCAAAGCATCCCTGTTGTCTGCAAGCTGACTGGAATCTTATATGCAGGGAGGGGGTGTTCCCCAAAGCCCCAGCTCTGTGTCCCGGACCCTCAGGGGTCCTTCAGCCCCTTCCTCCAAGCTCCTTCTGGTGAGTGCTCAGCTCACCGCCAACAGGAGTGTTTACCTAAGCCCCAGACTGGTTCCCAAGCTCTGCAGTAATTGTACCCTGTGAAGTTGGGCAAGGCTCTTCCCATTGTTTCTTCTGGGTGTGACCTCTAGAGAAACTTCTCTTACTCTAATCCCAGTCGGGGCTGCTTTCTCTGATGTCTCTAGTGAAGACCTGCAGCAGCTCAAAGGACTAGACTTCACCTTTGGCCAAGCAGGTCTCAGGAGTGGTAGGTCTCATGACTCCAGAGGCCTCTCTAGCCCTCTGGAGGAGTCACTTGAACTTTTAATGAGGCTTGAGTAAAGAACTCCTCCTGCAGACTTCTGGGACTCTGGACCCAGCTGTCTTCCCTAGAGGCACGTCGAAGAGGAAGCCTGCTGGGAGCTGGGCAAGTGGGGAGGAGGGAGAAGAAGAAGGGCTGAGGAAGAGAAGGTTAGACAGAGAACTTCTCCCCAGGGCTTCTCCAGGGAGACGCGCACTCCACACAAGCCAGGGACTGCTCTGCAATGTGCAGACCTAAAGACCCTCAGTCATTCCTAAGGGGTCCTGGGAATCATCCCAGTCCAGTTCACCTCAGGGAAACTGAGGCCAGAGAAGGGAAGAAACTTGCCCGTGTCTCACCTTTGTGGATTAGTGTCTACCACAAGCTATTAATAGTGCTTTAGGGGTGGTGGGAAAAGCTGTCCAGGGTTGAGGACACTCCCTGAGGCTGGGACCTCCAGAAACAACGGGAAATGGTGTGCAGTAATGGTGAGAGCCTGAGGGGCCAGGGATGGAGAGGCACCCAGATACACACAATACATATTTATTTTATGAGGTGCACAGTTTCTCTCCACTTAGATAAAAAGCTAGGACCTTGAAGTGGCCATCTTATTAGCTGCTTTGGGTATGTAGAGGCAGCAGGCTGCAGTCTCCAGGGCTTCAGAAGTGACTCCTCATGTCCACAGTGGGACAGTGTCCCACCTTTAATTCTGTGACTGCTTCACTGACAGTTTTGAACGGCCTGACCGGACACAGGGTTTGCTAGACGGATGACCTTAGAGGAACTGGCTATGATGATGCAGTCCCAGCCCGAGAAAGGCTGTCCCGTGCGCCTGTCATTACATTTCCCCCTGCAGCCGAGTCTTTCTTTTGACAGGGCACTCCACAGGCAGCTCTCTGAGGCAGGGCTTTCAGAGTACCGGCCGATGGACAAGCTTTGGAAGTTCTTGCTATCTCACTTAATCCCGTGCTTTCCAGAGTGCCTCAACTCAACAAATGTCTTCGTAGGCACAAATACACTTTAGAGCCAGGGTCAGCCTGTGGGGACTCACGAGCCCTTTCCTTGTATGTGCACGCATTCTTGCATGCATGCACTTCTTCATCCATGTTCCACATAAGGCTGTGGGTGGGTCTTCCTTGGCCAGCAACACCAACCACATTGTTTTCACTAATTGGTGGCACCACCTAGTGGTGACAGTGAATATAAATCACTTTTGTATTCTGACCCATCAAAAATTTCTATTATTCTGGGTTTTGTTTGTAGATCATAATTAACAGCGATGCATTGAACTAACTCACCATTCTGAATTGTCAATAACACGGCCAAAGAATTAAACATGGGAAAATGCTCTTCCACAGTAGAGGTCAGCAATCACATCCTTGGCCCTGGACCTTTATGGTAAATTTCTAGGACATTCCTGGGAAGAAGTTGAAGGTATGTCCAAAAGCTATGCAAGAGACATCCAGGGCGGAGAACAGCCCAGAGGTGGGCTGCGGCAGCAAACAGATAGTAACCTTGACAGTAGAGAGTGTCTGTCCCAGAGGATCCAGACAGGGCTCCACCCATCCTTTGGTTCGACAGACATGCAGGGACAGAGGCCAGCAGGTGCCTCACCTGGGCACTCAGGTCAGTTGGAGAAAGGACACACACTGCCAGCGCACTTAGGGCTGCCGGGGTGCACCTGGAAAACAAAACCACAGGTGAGCAGAGGGGAGGAGTCTCCAATGCCCCAAAACAATATGCCTGGAAATGTTCCTTATAAAAGTTTATAGATTCTAATCCCTAGCAAACCAAGACCAAAGTCCCTCCATTCCGTAAACAAATAAAGAAGAATCAATAGATAAGTTATTGTAGCCTCACCACTAGACTCCAAGAGGAAAGACAGTAAAAACTCCCTCATCTACCCTATACAACAACTGGATTTTTAAAATTTTTACATATTTGTTGTTGCTGCTGGGGTGTGTGTGTGTGTGTGTATGATGTGTGTGTGTGAATGTGTGTGTGTGTGTGTGTATGAATGTGTGTATGTGTGTATGAATGTGTGTGTGTGTGTGTGTGTGTGTGTGTGTGTGTGTGTGTGTGTGTTACAGGATAATTTGAAGGCATCAGTTTTCTCCTTCTACCATGTAGGTCCTGGCCCACATCAGACCTTCAGGCTTGGGAGTAAGCAACATTACCCAACTGAGTCATCTCGCCAGCCCAGGCTGTTTATTTTTAATTAGGAACTCAACCCAGAACATTCTTTATAACTCAAAAAAGGATGGCACCAAAAGACAACGAGAGAAAGGGAAGAAAGGTCTGGAAATCAAACATGCTTTTTTTCTTTGTGGTTATTTGAGACTTCCTTTTTCCATGAACCCCAGGCTGGCCTCGAACACACAACCTGGCCTAAGCTGGCTTCAGACGGCAATCCTCCTGCACCAGCCTTCCAAGTCCTGGATGACACACACCACCACGCCCAGAACTCAAATATATGTCTATAACAAATAGTGTAGAGAACAGAGCCTATGGAGAAATAAACATTAAAGAAACAGAAAACAGGGCCAGTGACACACCTTGGCGAATAAAGACATTTGCCACCAGATCTGGTGACCTGAGTTCAATTCCCAGAACTCACATGGTAGAGGAAGAGAGTTGATCTCTGGAAGTTACCTTCTCTGCTCCACACACATGTGCCACAGATGTAATAATATTATTAATATATATAATATGAAAATAAATAAAATGTAATAAAAAAAACTTAAAGAAAACCTCCTAACCTGAGGAAGAGAGTCTGCTAATCAAAAGATATGCCGAGTACTAGACCGGCTGTTTAAAGAGGCCAAGCCACATAGGAAGGACCAATGAGACCTTAATGTCACCAGAATAATAAT